GGAGCTAAAGGAGGCTACAAAATCACAGACTGGGTGACCTGGCTTTGTTGCTACTGGACTTGTAAGTAATACTAGATTTGTTTATCAGTGTGGAACCTTTTACTTTGTGTATTTTCTTTAGTATTAGTTGTCTCATGTTAGTGATAGCTTGTTGTTAGCACTTGCTACGGCCGGCTGCAGCAGGGTTGTTTACTGCAGTTGTAATTTCACTTTCAACCAGTAGGGTGCAGGAGCAGGAAACTGCTCTGTGTTACTAGGGCTGTTACGGTAATCGCAAAATGAAATATCGCGATATTACGAAACACACCTCGCTGCATGACGGGCCACCGCTATTACCGCACTTGGTTGGACTCGACGACGCATGTTGAGGAGGATGGCTGCACTGATATCAAAACGAAATGTTACTCCGCCCCACTGGGAGCACTTCGGCTTTCAGTGCGTCAGCTGCAGCCCAGCCAGTGTCCTTGGCGGAGACAGTGCTGCCTCCAGCGACCCCCCCCCCCCCCCCCCCCCCAAAAAAAAAAACGCTCAGAGACCTGCTCAAGTTACGGACAAGCACTGCTCCTGCAACTGTCCCGAAGAGAGTTAGAGCCGAGCTGGAGCTCACTCGCGACCTGCAGGAGGAATCCGTTGACCCTAATGAAAGTCCCCTTGACATGGTGGCATAACAACCAGGAGAGATTTCCTTTGCTCTGCATGTGAATTTGTGCAATGAGCGCACCATCTGAGAGGGTTTTCAGCGTCGCTGGAAATGCGGTCAACCCTCTCAGATCCTCTCTCAAACCACATAAGGTCAACATGCTGGTTTTCCTTGGGCGTAACAAGGACATGACCGAGCTATAAATCACCGTTATTTGTGTGTGTGAAAGTGAAAGGATAGTGCCCGCCCGTGCACGGTACATCTCATGTTGTCAGGGTTCCCACTCTTTTCTTGAAATAATTTTCCAGGACTTTTCCAGGACATTTTCAAGACTTTTTCAGTGTACAAGTCAAGTTATCATAACTGCGGTTTGCCGATATCCCGATATATTTAGAAACAGATATGATATTGTACCTACCCACACCGTTATTTTGACAATATAGTTGTGGAAAGATTTTTGTCTTTCACAAGCCCACCTGCTTTCCTCTACTTACAATGCAACACAACTAAAACAGAAGTTATTCTCTACTTTAGTTCATACCAGAGGTGTGACATTGTGGCATCATCAAGTCATCTCCATGTCCTGTTTTTGTTCTGCTCAGCAACTGAACCAGGTTAATCCACTGAGCTGAATGAAATCGTCGTCATCTTCCTCCGCTTATCCGGGTCTGGGTCGCGGGGGCAGCATCCCAACTAGGGAGCTCCAGACCGCCCTCTCCCCAGCTACCTCCACCAGGACCCCAAGGCGTTCCCGGACCAGATTGGAGATGCAACCTCTCCAACGTGTCCTGGGTCGACCCGGGGGCCTCCTGCCGGCAGGACATGCCCGAAACACCTCCCCAGGGAGGCGTCCAGGGGGCATCCTGACCAGATGCCCAAACCACCTCAACTGACTCCTTTCGATCTGGAGGAGCAGCGGTTCTACTCAGAGTCCCTCCCGAATGTCCGAGCTCCTCACCCTATCTCTAAGGCTGAGCCCGGCCACCCTATGGAGGAAACTCATTTCGGTCGCTTGTATCCGCAATCTCGTTCTTTTGGTCATTACCCAAAGCTCATGACCATAGGTGAGGATTGGGACGTAGATTGACCAGTAAATCGAGAGCCTGGCTTTCTGGCTCAGCTCCCTCTTCACCACGACAGATCGGCTTGACGTCCGCAGCACTGCAGACGCCGAACCAACCCGCCTGTCGATCTCCCGATCCTTCCTACCCTCACTCGTGAACAAAACCCTGAAATACTTAAACTCCTCCACTTGAGGTAGGACCTCTCTCCCGACCCAGAGTTGGCAAGCCATCCTTTGCCGGTCGAGAACCATGGTCTCAGATTTGGAGGTGCTGATCCTCATCCCAGCCGCTTCACACTCGGCCGCGAACCTACCCAGCAAGAGCTGAAGGTCAGAGCTGGATGAAGCTCGAAGGACCACATCATCCACAAAAAGCAAAGACAAAATTCTCCTGCCATCAAACTCGACACACTCCACACCACGGCTGCTCCTAGAAATTCTGTCCATAAAGGTAATGAACAGAACCAGTGACAAAGGGCAGCCCTGGCGGAGTCCAACCCTCATCGGGAACAGGTCCAACTTACTACCGGCTATGCGGACCAAACTCACGCTCCTCTGGTAAAGGGACTGAATGGTCCTTAACAGAAAACCACCCACCTCATACTCCTGGAGCGTCCCCCACAGAGTGCCCCTGGGGACACAGTCATAAACCTTCTCCAAATCCACAAAACACATGTGGATTGGTTGGGCAAACTCCCATGCCCCTCCATCACCCTTGCAAGGGTATAGAGCTGGTCCACAGTTCCACGGCCAGGACGAAAACCACATTGCTCCTCCTCAATCTGAGATTCGACTATCGATCGGACCCTCCTCTCCAGTACTTTTCCAGGGAGGCTGAGGAGTGTGATCCCCTTATAGTTGGAACACACCCTCTGGTCACCCTTCTAAAAGATGGGGGCCACCACCCCAGTCTGCCACTCCACAGGAACTGCCCCCGATGACCACGCAATGTTGCAGAGACATGTCAACCATGACAGTCCTACAACATCCATAGCCTTGAGATACCCAGGATGAATCTCATCCACCCCTGGGGCTCTGCCGCTGTGTAGTTGTTTGACTACCTCAGCAACTTCTGCCCCCAAGATTGGACAGTCCATCCCCATGTCTCCTGGCTCTGGTTCCTCCTCGGAATGCACGTAGGTGGGATTGAGGAGCTCCTCAAAGTATTCCTTCCACCGTCCGACCATAGCCCCAGTTGATGTCAGCAGCTCCCCATCCCCACTGTAAACAGTGTGAGCGAGTTGCTGTCTTCCTCTCCTGAGGCGTCGGACAGTTTGCCAGAACCTCTTTGGAGCCGATCGATAGTCTTTCTCCATGGCCTGACCAAACTCCTCCCACGCCCGAGATTTAGCCTTGGCAACTGCCACTGCTGCACCCCGCTTGGATATCCGGTACCTGTCTGCTGCCTCCGGAGACCCACAGACCAGCCACGCCTTGTAGGCCTCCTTCTTCAGCCTGACGGCTCCCCGAACCTCTGGTGTCCACCAGCGGGTACGGGGGTTACCACCACAACTGGCACAGGCCACCTTGCGACCACAGCTAGCAACAGCCGCCTCAATAATCGCAGAGTGGAAGAAGGCCCGCTCGGAGTCAATGTCCCCCACTGCTCTCGGGACACGGTCAAAGCTCTGCCGGAGGTGGGAGTTGAAGACCGTCTTGACAGGGTTTTCTGCCATGCGTTTCCAGCAGACCCTCACTATGCGTTTGGGTCTGCCAGGTCTACGCAGCATCTTCCCCTGCCATCTGATCCAACTCACCACCAGGTGGTGATCAGTTGACAGCTCCGCTCCTCTCTTCACTCGGGTATCCAAAACATACGGCCGTAGGTCAGATGATAAGACTACAAAGTCTATCATCGACTTGCGACCTAGGCTGCCCTGGTACCAAGTGTACCGATGGGCATCCTTATGTTCGAACATGGTGTTCATTATGGCCAAACTGCGGCTTGCACAGAAGTCCAATAATGAAACACCACTCGAGTTCAGATCAGGCGGGCCGTCCCTCCCAATCACACCCCTCCAGGTCATGCTGTCATTGCCCAGGTGAGCATTGAAGTCCCCCAGCAGGACAATGGAGTCCCCTGATGGAGCACTATCTAGCACTCGTCCCAGGGATTTCAAAAAGGGTGGGTACTCTAACTGGTATTTAGCCCATAAGCGCAAACTACAGTCAGGACCCGTTCCCCGACCCGAAGGCACAGGGAAGCTACCCTCTCGTCCACTGGGGTAAACCCCAACACACAGGCAGAGAGTCTTGGGGCTAGCAAAAAGCCAGTTTTGAAAAGTTTTGAATTGGCACCGTCTTCCTGACATCACTCACTCCTGCCTATAAAGGACACAAAGACATATTTTGAAAGATTGTTACTGTTTATACAATAAATTAGGCCTACTTTTCAAACCTTAGCTCTTTCATATCTTTCATATTCTATGTATTATACTTACTGTACACACCACATTACACTTTACTGCTTATTCCACATAGTTGGATGTTAAACTGCATTTTGTTGTTCCAGTATTGGTCATTTTAGGTTAGTCCAGTCATCCAGAAACAAGATTCAGGATAGATGACTAGGCTAATATCTCCCGCTAACACCACAGACATATTGGACCTGAAAAATATTTTTTTCTACCTCAGAGATAAGTACTTGTAGTTGTTCGCTACCATTTTAGTCTGGACTGTACGTAACATTACTATGATAAATATATAGTTACCACTTAAAATCATTCTAGTTATTAATTTAGCCGTGTTGAATTCAATTTAATTACGTTAACAACTTTGTTCAATGACCATGCCAGTCCAGTTCTCACTGCCACCTGGCTGCGGTCTGTGTAGCTAGCTAAAAACAGTATGAACAGCTGAGGCTCTGTCCTCTGAGCACATACTTAGTATTTTGATAGAATCAAATTCATGACATTTTTATCATTCACATATTTTTGTTTCTGCAGTTGGACGATAGAACAAGTATGAATTACTGAGTGGAGCGCGGGTCCGGTAGACTACCTGCTTTCCGTTGCTATCCCGAAGCTCTCCTCATGTTCACTCGTCTCATCGCATGAGTGAAAAAAACAAAAGCTCTCCACTGCTCCTTTGTCACTCAACAGAGAGAAGGAGAAAAACCTCTCGCTCTATAAACTGCGATAACCAGGGGCGGATCTAGAAAATTATTTATGGGGTGGCAGAAGAGGGGCAAACATTTTTCTGGGGTGGCAATACATACATACTCACACAGAGATTACATATATATATATATATATATATATATATATATATATATATATATATATATATATATGAGCTGAACCAAGGTAAATCTAATTGCACTGTGTGTAATGAAATATTTCACTGCAACGAGATATTGTACTTTGGTTTTATTGTTCACTCAGAAACATGTTTTCTTTTATCTTTTCCCAGTATTTACATATTCCTTTGTTTTGGGTGCTCATTTAATAAGCTTAAAGGCCCATCACAAAAATAAAACATATTATAAAATTATGTCATTCCTACAACAGCTGAATGCGACGGTTTCCATGTTGCTCAGCAAAACACTTTACAAATTCATCAAGATCCAAAGATTTTGCCCGTTTTGATTCAATGCTGAGTACAGCCAAGCTTGATAGTCTTTTCTCTGTCATAGCAGACCGCAAATAGGTCTTTATGAGCCTGAGAGTTGAAAAACATTGTTCACAGGATGCACTGCTTACTGGTAAAACAACAGCTATTTAACACAACCTAAACAATTCATGAAAAACATCCTGATAAGGGTCTAAAAACTGAGTCATCTCCATCAGAGTGGTAGGACTCTCCTTTCCCCCTTTTTTTCTCTGCAACACTCTTCTCATCTGATGTAACTCATGTTTGAGATCCTCAGTGTTGGAATCATAAGCTTCAGCCAACAGAAGAACCGTCTCCTCTCTCAAAAATGTCTGACTTGATGGATTTAGTGCCTGCACACCTTGCATTATGTTACAGTTTGTGTTAGAAAACCTTCTTCCTATTTCTCCAATCATGTTATCCAGAACTGGATAGTACACAGAGAAGCAAAAAGTGTGTTTGTTATCTGGAACTTCATGCTGTCCTAAGGTGAAGGCAACGAAACTGCCCTGAAGCACCTTTGATATGACTCTTGGCCTCTTTGGTTTGTGCTGAGTTGTCTCAATGCTGCTTCGTGTGCATAACTCAAGTGTTTCACTCAACATTTCCTCAAACGAGTCATGACTACGGTACTGGATCAGTGTCTCTTTTAGTGATTCAACAAGCTCAACAACCTTGGAATAATCCACCGTTTTAGACTGGAGCAGGTCTGATAAATATTTGGAGTCACTGAGAACCTTTCGAAATAGAACAAGACATCTGGCAAAATTTAGATCAATCTGAGCCAATATCCCTCTTGCTTCAACAGCTCTTTGTGGATGTTTCTCAGATGCAATCTCTTCAAGCACCTGTACAATTGCAGGCAACCTGTCCATAACATTGCGACATGCTATGTGCCTACAAGCCCAGCGTGTATCACTTAGCTGTTGAAGCTCTCGTGGTGCACCATCAAACATCTCCCGCTGCACTTCCAGCCATCTGTTATGTACATACGAGCCAGATATGAATGTGTACATTCGTTCCAACAAGGAGAAGAAGTTTCCTGCATCTGCCACACTTTTTACAGCGTCTACAATGACCAAGTTTAAGCAATGTGCGCTGCAGTGAACATAAAAGGCATGTTTAGCCACTTCTTTTATTTTAGTTTGGACACCTGCATGTGCCCCACGCATAACTGCTGCACCATCATAGCCTTGACCTACGAGGTTGTCCTTGTACTCTAGGCCATGCTTCTCAAGAAAGTTTATGATCTTGTCACTTAAGGCAGCAGCATCCATCTCTTCTGCCTCTTCAAACTCAAGAAAACTCTCATGAACCACACCACTGTAATAGTATCTCAGAACAAATGAAATTTGTTCTTTTTTTGAACATCTCTAGTTTCATCCACAATCACTGAAAACTGCTTGCTCTTTTTAACCTCTTGAATGATTTCCTTTTTAACCATTCCAGCTAGGCATTCAAGTATTTCATTTTGGATTGTTTTACTAGTGTACTTGGCATTTTTCGCTTGTTGTTCAAGTCTTTTTTTAATGACAGGATTATGGTTACTTAGCAAATCTAACATAGATAGAAAAATCCCTTTTTTCTCAGAATCTGAAGTCTCCCTGTGACTCCGCTGGGCGACATTTTCTGTTGCAGTTAGAACAAGGATCTCAGCCAGTGTTTTAATGTAATACTGATTTTCAGTCACCTGTTTCTTATTTTCCTCATCCATTATTGCAAATAATGAAGCATTTTTGTCCATAGTTTTTTTGTTCTCTGTCCATGCAAACATTGCATTTACATGGCTTTCTGATCTTGCATGAGAACAGAAACCGCTGTCTTTCATTTTTGCCTTTTTCCAATTCTGATAACCCCCAAGGGAGGTGAAAACAGTCCTTGGAGCATCAGGGAGGGAAAAATGCCTACAGGCAAAACAGTACGATGAATTGTTCAACTGTGAGTACTCCAGCCATGGATGGGATTTGTACCAGTCACTGTGAAAGCTTCTCCTGGCTCCTCCTTGAAATGTCTTAGGAAAACTCTGGAGCTTTGGTTGTGCCGGTCCCTCACACCAGGACTTGGATATGTCTGAAAGAGAAGAGGTGAAAAGAAATTGTTTTTACGAGATTAATCAGACTGAGTTAACACGCACAGCATAAAATATATGTTTTTGGGTAACTTTCTTTCCCTTTTACACAAAAATGTTTTTCATAGAAAGCAAACATAATGAGGATGAATAAAAACATTCATCTTAAGTTTAAATGTACTGCCTAGAAAAATATTTATTTTGTTTTTAATATTTTGATTCAGATGTTGTATGCAGTGATATATCCATACCGTGTGGACCAGCTCGACTGGAGATGTTTGGTGATGTTTCAGACTCTGTGTTTCCACTATCTGAGCCCTGCATACCGTCTCGTCTTTCTCCCTCCTCATCTTGGTGGTGATCCTCTCCCTTCTCCATCACTTCACCGCTGTGCCCTTCTATCATTTCCTCCTGGCCCTGATCTTGCTCTTTGTCACATTTGTGTTGCTCTTCTCTCTCTTTCCAGCTCATCTCCTCCACAACAGAGCTGGTTAGTCTCCGTTTGTCTCACCTTACTCTTTGGTGAGAAAAAGCTAGAGATACTACCTTTCCTCTTCATTTCTGAAAGATTGAAAGTCATTTACAATGTTTTCTGGACAAATATTTAATTGATATCTGCTTTTCTGCCATATACAGGCCTAAGAATCTGGCTTAAGCCTGGCGTACACTGTGCGACTTTTTCACTCGTAGCATTCAGCTCCATTTCAAACTGTACAACTTTCTAGCAAATCAAAGCTTGAGCGCCATGTTCGCACACTGCACCGTGTACGCCTGGCGTCGCTAACCTACACACAACGCGCTTTGGCGTTTTATCGTCTTAAAATCAACAGCAGCTATTATCATCAAGTCAAATAGCGTAGTTATTTAGTTCTTACCTCCTCGGTTGCCTTCTCGTCTGCGTCGGCCCGATCTCCTCTCCTCTCGCTTCCCGCCGCTGCCTTCTGCTGCTCAGAACTCGAGCGCCGATGGTGAGTGTGCTGCGTTCAATGTAATCGGACCTGTGACTTTTGCTGCATTTCAATCCATTGCATGGGCGACTTTGTGCTGTGTTCAATGTTTTTGGACATGCAACATTAACGTTTGTAATGCCACAACTATTTATTGAATTTACAGCTGCCAGCTGGGGTAGCAGCAGGGGTAGCAAGGCTTTCTTTTAGGGTGGCAACTGCCACCCTATGCCACCCTTGTAGATCCGCCCCTGGCAATAATGCAATACTCGCGAACCGAGTCGCTACTTTTGGCCCTTCTTTAGAGAAATAAATCTAGGGGTGAAAAATCTGTAAATCTAGCCAAAAAGACAGTTGGAAAAACAGAAGTGGAACTGGAACTGAAGGGAATTATGCAATCTGATTGGTTGGAAGCGTCATGTGGGGCGCTGTGCCAGCTAGATGCAGAAATTAAAGGAGAAGCGATACAGCCCAATATTGCCCAAAATGTTTAATCCATTTGTTTATCCACAAGGATGGAAAATTATTTTCCAGGACAACTCAAAAATTTCCACGACATTTTGCAATTCCCCCCATTTGACTGGAAAATTGGACTATCATTTTCCAGGTTTTCCAGGTTTCCAGGTTTTCCAGGACGCGTGGGAACCCTGGTTGTATATTAGATTTTAAATAACAAAGCAAAACTGGGACTTTTTTGTTATTTCAGTTAGATGCTGCAGCCTAATTTGCATAACCAAACCTTCTCCTGAATTTTATTTTTATGTTCAGTCGGACTCCAACTGTCAGAGAAACAAGTGTTACTGTGATCTGTGCTGTTACTGCCCTTTCATCTGCATTCAATAAAGTTATGTTATACAAGAAAACAAGACAATTTTTAACCTTTTTTAAAGTGTAAGCACCATGTTTCAAGGGAAAGAGTTTAGTAATGTAGTAATTAACAAACTTTTATTTGCTAAATAGAGAGATAAAAAAAAGTGCTGCAATAACATCACACACCACAATATTGAGCCACCCTGACTCACTGCAGGGGGAATTCCTCAACCGTGACAGCCCTATGTGTAACTTTAATATTTTCCTGCAACGTTAAACAGTACATTTGATCAACTCCAGATTGTTTTGTTCCTCTCCCACTTTGACAAAACACAAGAAAATTCTGAGACTTTTGCTTCAGTAATTTTGATTTAGACTTGATGCAAATAAAAAGAACCAAATAATAAATAAATGTGAAAATAATTGATAAATATCGTGTTAAACACTTTTTTCCACTAATGTTAGAAAAGCAAAATTCCATTCATCTAAATGTACATGTCTTGAAATGCATACTAAATAATATATCTGCTTTTCATACCCTTGCAGCATGTACCTTTCTGCTCCAGCAAATTGTGTGAAAACATTTTCACTAAGTAGATTAGCCAACCAGCTTTTATTTTGTAGTCGGTAGTTGCGATGGGTACAGAATTCGGTACTTTTTAAGGTACCGACCGAATTCCTCAGTACCAACTGAACACCGATTCACGTCATTTGAAATGGTGCCTCGTTTCGGTACCCGTCCTTCATAACGAGAACTTGCCTAGACAACTGCGCATGCGCAAGAGCGTTACGTCGGTCGCTGCGAGCGAGTTGTAAACAGAGCAGCATGGAAGAAAGAACGCACGCTAAAGCTTGGATCCACTTCACTAAATGTGATGGGTAACGGGGTGATGATGAAACCAGCGACAACGATCTAAGTGAGACATCCTCATCTTAATCTGCTCCGGTAGGTAAATAAAATGTTCAAGATAACGTTAGCTTGATATGTTAGCTTCCGTTCCGCTAATGGTGCGTTCGCTTTCTCCTCGGAACTCCGATTTTCCGACTAGAAGAACATGAACGTGCTCTAAAGTTTGGCTTCACTTTACTAAATGCGACGGGTGACTGGGTGAAGATGAAACCAGCGACAACGATCTAAGTGTGAGGCATCATCGTTTTAATCTGCTCCAGCAGCTAAATAAACTGTTTAAGATAACATTAGCTTGATAAATTAGCTTCCATTGCTACCATTGTTATCAGCTAATGTTGCGTTCGCTTTCTCCTCGGAAATTCTAACTTCCCAGTAGGAAAAATCAAATGAAAAAAGACGGCAAAAGGAATGAAGATACACAGTAAATTTAGTTCACAGTAAAGATGTTTGCTTCAGTTTAATTATCAGATTATAAAACTACAAGGACGATGTTAAAATACAAACAGTTGTATGTTATTTATTGTGATATTTATCAAATATGGTTATAAATTGAGAAAAATATATATTTAATTATAAAAGAGATTTAAAATATTAAACACTCAAAAGTATCTAAAATTGGTACCGTTAAGTACCGGTATCGATTCGTAGGTACCGGGAATTAGCACCGGATCGATTCAAATGTCAAAGGTACACATCCCTAGTCGGTAGCAACGTGCAGGTAGATAATATGTGCAACCTCTTCCAGATGGAGGCGGCAAGCTGCTGTGAGTAAGGTGTTATTTGTGTAATTCAAAAAAGGCCAAATATCCCAATTAGCAACAAAATGTAACATCGAGGGGTGGATAATAGTAGGAATGCATTATTTTGCTCTAATTTGCACAGGTGTAAATAAATAAATGGAGCCATTTCAAGAACGAGGCATCCACACTGGTCTAGCTTGAGCTCAGTCTAGCCGTTAGCTCATCAATCCTGCCAGACGTTAAAGAAAATAAATAAAACATTATTATACCTTTAACAGAGAAACACATTTAAAATGACCCAAAGTTCCTGTAGATAAATCACGTCAGCACACGAAATCTCAATGGAGGCCATTTTGCTCATTTGTTGATCTCTAACATCATCACTTTGTTGTTCACTCTGCACAAATAATGAGGCCCAATATGCAAAAGTGAGCAGGAAGGCAGCGCTACGCTCAGCCCAAAAGTAAACAAACATGAATATGTAATTAAAACCTAACAGAGGCCAAAGCATGAATGAGGCAGATAAGAGAGATGGAGCGGTCGCAGCGGAGCGAGGATGTGAGGCTGAGCCAGTCGTGCTGCAGCAAAGTCAAACTCTGATCTTAACTCAGCAAGACATCTTAATTGCATTCACTATTAGCTCCACAGCAGCGCGGTCCCCAGATGAAGGCTGATGTGAGCTGACTGGAAGATGAACTTCCCGGGCCGAAGAGGAAAAGGTAGGAGGAGGATGCTGGGTATGTGTACGACAACAGTGGACCTGATTGTGGTTTCTTCTCAAGGTGTGTGTGAGAGTTTATGCATGTGAATCTCTGCTCACCTGTGCATGTATGCGTGTGTGTGTGATAGTAAGGAGACGAGCAGGAGTAAAGAGCACCGAGATGGAGAGCAGTGCTAAAAGGATGTTTGACATGATAAAAGAGGCGAGGAGCAGCGGCACACGTTCAGCAGTGCAGCAGGTGGCCCCAACAGATCAGCCCGTGGCCCTGAACTTCAATTTCAGCGCTACGTGAGCAGCTCCTCGCCTTTACCAGACTGGGGGTGGGTGATAAATGCGTAAACACGCTGCTTCTGCTGTGACAACATGGAGCCCAACCACAACACAGCTAGCAAACACGCGCCTCAACTCCTGCTACGTGTTGAGCTAAAAGAACAATGTCTGAAACCGAGCTTATGACCACCGTGAGTACCAGACACACATCTGGAGGAGTAATAGGTGTTTTTCTTTAGAGGTGCCTTTGAATGGTGCTCAGCCACATTTGCAGTGAACAAGTTCATCCCTGCTGAGCTGGAAACTAGCTTTCCCTGGCTGATGATCATCAGTGAAACCATCGATTTTAATGACTGGGTCAATAGACACACCGCCTCCACGCTCAGCATCTTCCTCTCTTTCTTTTCCATCAGCCTCAACCTCTTTGTGTATCCGTCTCCTCTAATCCCACCTCCTCCCGTGCACTGGCCCCTTTTTTTTACTTTTTTAAACTGCCTTCTTAAACAACAACACCACTGGTCATTTTGGATTCCCACATTTCTGCAAATATACGCTTTAGCTAGAGCCGCAGATGGGCCGTCGAGTGGAGCTCAGCGAGATTGTGTTTTCGCTCAGATAAAGATCGGCGTTTGAGGAAAAACAGAGAGGAGACGATGAAGAATAAGCAGGGGTGTGAGCGGCGGGGAGGAAATTAACAACGGGTGAGAAGGAGTTTGATTTGTGCCTCGATGACAGGCATGTATTATGAAAAGCCCGATGAGGATGTAGGAACCAGGTAGGCAGATCACAGCGGATCACAGCAGGTGACGAAGTTAAAGCTGCCTCCCAGCAGCTCTGTGCGCATCCACCAACACACACACTCAACGCTGGGCATTTCCAAACACATTTAATAATGTAAACAGAGAAGTAACCAGACGGGCACAAGGGGTGGGGGGGGGTGGGGGGGGCAAAGACAAATTGCTCCTTTTGAAGGCGAAGCCAAATCAAATGTGGACTGTGATTTCTGTCACCGTGGTGTTTGACTTTAAGGCTGCGAGGGCTGACATCTGACAAAACATCCACTCTGTCACAACCAAGAAGTTAGGCATGCGTGTAACCGCGCACACACACATGGATACACACGACCCGTCGTAAGGCTGAATTAAGGAGAAAGAGCTTCTCCGAGATCTGGGTCTTTACCATCAAAAAGCCACTAAAGCATCTCGACCCGTCAGCGCTTTGCCAGCATCATGTCAAGAGGCCTAAACCTTGTGTTTCTAGCTCCAGAAGCAGCTTTGAGAGTTGACTTTTGTATTTCCGGCAGATCCCCAATAATCACTTCTGGAAACAACCAAACGTGAAAAATCTCCTTCTCAGCTCGGGCTGATGGATCACAATCCCTCTGAGAACCGCCTGATAGAAACACACCTACCGGCCACTTTGTTAACTGCTTGTAACGACAAATATCCTGATGCTGTCATGTCAATGTGGACCAGAACCTCTGAGAAATGTTCCCAGCACCTTGTTGAATCTGTGACATGAAGAATTTGGCTCAGTCATTCATCCATTCACCACTAGTGGTGATGAGCTACATTACAGCCTCAGCTGCCCACATACGCACCATCACTAAACCACTACCAGCAGGCCAGGAAGCTCAAGTGTCTTGCCAAAGGACACAACAACTGACTTGAATAGAGCTGGGGTTCGAACCTGCAACCTCGGACCCTTCGCTCTGCTGGGCAGGAGGGCCTGGTAATGGCTCCAACCATTTGGAACGAGCTCCTTTAACTGTTATGATGTCTGTCCATCTTTTTATATACAGTTAAGCGCCTTGGGCTCCCGCTAAGGTGGTAGAAGGTGCTACATAAATACATTTAATTGATTGATTGACTAAACCCATCAGTTACAAGGTGAACATCTAAACCCCGAGCCATCGTCGCTCCTATACATGTAGTTAAAGATCAAGTTCACTATTTTTTTTCAACACATTGGAAAAAAGTTCAGGCACTCCTGTTTCAGGAAGTAGTAGTGGTCAGTGACTCGATGCAATTTGCTGGGTTCCTTATATAGGAAACGTTTTTCTGATTGGCTTAATGAACTGACCTGTGTTGGAATGTTTACTACGTGAAGTGCCTTGAGACGACTCTTGTCGTGATTTGGCGCTGTATAAATAAACTTGAATGAATAGAAGGGAGCCAGAGGAGAGGTGAGCAGAAGACGGATAATTTCCTGATATTTGGACATCTGATTAGCTAACAGCAATGTGACTCAACCACTGACTCTGTTTGCTCTGCAATGTTGTTGTTTTGCTTTTTTTATCTCCACAAAAATCACAACCCTGAAGGAGTTCTGCTGTGTGGTGGAGTTGCTAATGCTAACAGTTAGCTTCTATTAGCTGAGACGTTCTCTGCTGTTTCCTGGATGCTAAATCCAACAACAGCCTTTCCTGTCATGACTTAAGATGGGTGAGTTCATGAATGTTAAGTGACAGTGTGACGTAGATCTGTCAGTCTTCCCTATATTCTATCAGAATCGAATGCAGGAGATCGGTGTAGGAGACTTTTTCATGTTCAGCCTGCATGAACAACTCAAGATGACCAATCGTATTCCAGAAATAACAATTAAAAAACGGTTTCTCAGTTAATTTGGTCTTTAACTATTACCTGTGAGTCACTGCAGAATGATACCAACAAAGCTCATACCACACACATGCCAGTTATTTTCTTACCATAAACTGTGCACAATTAGGGCTGATTTTGTCCACTCTATTTGTGCTGGTCTATAAAAATCAAAATTTCAAGGCTGATTTCTGCGTTTGCCCAGATTATGGGGAACACAGAACAATCAGGCTCAGGATCGATAAGCTGCATGTCGGATGCAGTTGATGAATAAAAAACAGTTATCCAACTACAGGCCAATCTCTCTGTTGTCTCAGTTCTCCAAAATAACAGAGAAAATATTTATAAGCAGATTGGATGATTTTATTGAAAATAATAATCTACTAAGTGACAGGGTAGCTGCAGGTTTAAGGGAGCCAAATTTGACTTTTTAAGACCTTTTTAAGGCCACTTTGACCAAATTGAAGCTATTTTTTAAAATTAAAGATATAATTTCCAGCTATTGCCTGGAACCATTCATAACCACGTCGCAAACGTGGGATTAGCCATCCACTTACCATTAAACTTGCACTTCACCATGGCGCAAGCTCCCACTAGCTTAACCAGCTAATGTGCTCATCTAAAAATAGCCCCCTTTCACAACCAAATGAATGTGTACGATTCCGCTTATGTCAATATCATACACAAAAAATGCTGAACACTAACTAGAAATTCACAAAGATTTTATAGAAATAAAAGAATCTTGTTTATTGGGTCTTTGGTAATTTAAGACCTTTGGAAACTGTATTTAAGGAGTATTTGTCATTTTTAAGGATTTTTAAGGCCTTAAATTTGGAAAAGCTAATTTAAGACTTTTTAAGGACCCGCGGATACCCTGAGTGAGCATCAGTATGGATTCAGAACAAAAAGATCAATGGCTATGGCAACAATTAGTATGATAGAAGCAATATCTAAACAATCGATAAGAAAAGCCATACAATAGGAATTTATTTAGATCTTAAGAAAGCCTTTGACACAATAGATCACAATATCCTGCTAACCAAATTAGATAAATATGGCATACGAGGAATAGCATATAACTGGTTAAAAAGCTACCTAACAGGAAGACAACAATTAACTGAAATTGGAAATGTTAAATCATCTACAAAACAAGTGTCCTGTGGGGTACCACAAGGTTCAGTGTTAGGACCCAAGTTATTCACACTTTGCATAAATGACATCAATAAAGTAACTAATCAACTGAACTATTTTCTCTTTGCAGATGATACCAACATGTATATCACAGGGAAAGACATAGAACAACTACTGAATATCGTTGGAAGTGAACTAGAAATACTAAAGACCTGGTTTGACAGTAACAAATTATCATTAAATCTAAGACAAAACTAAATACATTATATTTGGAAAACAAAAGAATCTTCCTAAATTAATAATAAATGGGGTAGAAATAGAAAGAGTAAATAAAATTAAATTATTGGGTGTCACAATACACCAAAGGTTGAGTTGGAAGCCGCACGTAGAAAATGTAAAAACTAGGATGTCTACAATTATTGCAGTCTTAAATAAATCGAAACACATTCTAAATGGGAAATCCTTATTACTTTTATACCAATCATACTTCCTCACATGATGTATTGTCTGGAAGTCTGGGGAAACACTTACAAATCTCATATAGCACCGATAGTTTTATAACAATAAGAGTAATTACAAACTGATTACCGTGCACCAACACTCCCCCTGTTTATAAAACTAAAAATACTAAAATTTACAGATCTGGTCAAACTCCAAACAGCACAAGTAATCTATAAAGTACAAAATAAAATATTTTCAGACTGTTTTCAGAAGCTATTCCAGGTCAAAGAAATTCAGTATGATCTAAGGGGAGGAAGGACAATTTGTGAGAGAGAAAGTAAGAACAAATGTTAGGAGTCAGAGTTGTACTGCAGTACAAATTATGGAATAACTTGGACACTGGAATCAGGGCATGTAACATTGTTAAATCATTCAAAAAAAGTACGTCAATAAGATGATGTCATACTACCATAATGACTGTATGTGGTCTAGTGTGTCTGATAGATGTCAATGAAAATGTAAAGTTCTTGCACAAGTGACTGTTTTGATCTATATCATACATCGATTTATTAAGATTACTGATAGTTTTGTATAGTTCTGTCTTTAGTTCTGTGTATTTTTCCTCTTGCTGAATTATGTTTGTTGTTGTTCACTATATTTCAATAATGATTAGCATTTTTATTACTTTTCTCTTATTTTCATTTTTATTACTTTATTACTTTTATCTTTCTTTGTTATTTTTTCTTGATAAGCAATGTGATTGAGTAAATAGAGTAGGCATAAAAAGCTAGGCTTCAGCCTACACCTTTTTGGTTACTATAATTGAGATTCTGTTTTATTGTATTCTTTCTTTTTCCTTTTAAATGACCAAAATAAAATAAACTGAAACTGAAATGAATCATTTTATGTCAGTTTTTCAGCAGAAATTCAACGATACTGACACATAAAACCTGGAACAGTGAGGTTGTACTACAGGTTCGGCCTCCATCATAGAACACCCTGTAACTCAGAGCAGGACGGAAGATATTTTAGCAACATTACAATGCAGTGTTCATTATTATACAACAGACAAGGTGCCACCCAAAGTAAGTTGGTGACGGAAACTTAGTGAAAAGAGGAAGGAATTATCATGAGTACATTGTGTTTTAGCACGCCGAGATTATCTAAGAAAAACCAAACTTTTAATTCTAACCAAACTGATGATACCAATATGTATATCACAGGGGAAGACATAAAGCAACTACTGAATATCCCTCGGCCAAAAACATGAACATATTCTGATGTATAAATTGATCATAATAGTCTATTAACACAAAAGAGACAAAAAAAGTTTCCATTAAACCGGACAAGCAGATAAACCGATAAAATTATCCACTTCCATTTCTACCTGAAGTCTCATTTCAAGGCAATGCAGGCAATCCCTCCCGAATAATTGCTTTTCTGTTTTTTTCCCTCAATCTACAAGTTCATTTGAAGCCATTTTATTGATCAAAACGAGCCAGGTGAAAGAAAACAATCTAAAGCTAAATTAAAGGCTTCATTAAATGTGAAAATTGGTCGGGGAATTGCGAACATCTGTTTCGAGCGACACGCTGTGTCATAAACCCGCGAGGTTAAAGCAAACACCAATTTATGGCCTTGCGGAGTCAGACGGAGTGCGGAGCTGCGAAGCAGCTTCACAAAGGCGATGGTAAGTCAACAAGGATTCAAAAGATTTCAACAGAGATGTGAGGCCAGTGGCTGAAAGCTCTTCCTGCCTTGTCTTTAGTACGGCTTCGCTGTAATGCAGCTGGGTGCAATGAAAAGATTAACCTGACACACTGAAAACCAATTTCAAAGCACACTATTACAGATGTTGCTGCGGTATAGCAGTTTAGGATCAGAACAACTCCTTTTTTCCACAAGGAACGGTTTAGAAGAGGTATTTTCTGGTTTCAGTCACACCTATCTCTATCCTTCTTTAGGAGAGCCTCTATTCTCTGCAACCTTGGAGCAGCTTTGAGGTGAATTGGCTCTGGTTGCAAATTGCATCTTGACAACCTCTAGCTGGAATGTTTAAAGGCTTGTTTATGACTGCTGGCGTCTGAAACGGCTCTGGTTTGAAGACAGGGAGCAGAGGCCTGCGTGTTTCATTCCAGCAAAGCCACACGTACGAGGGGAAGTCACGAGCAGCACAGAGTTCAGAGTGCATTGATTTGTTAAAAAATAACATCCCACCTTGGATTCACTTTTAAGCCCAGGAATGTTAACCAGGCAAAACTGCTTTGATCTGGTTTTGAGAGACACAGAGTATGTAAAGTGATTCTGAAAAGCAAAACAACAACAAACAAAAGCCACTGTCTACTGCAGGGGGCACAATTTGGGACAGTCTGTGCTTACCTTTGGGGTGTCCCGGGTCACTGAACTCGTACTTCCCGCTCCCAACCGTCCGCAGCATTTGCAGCCCGTTGGGAGTCTCCTGATTGTCTGCAGATGTAGGTGGGGCATGCCCCGGCGCCGCCTGTCCGTTGGTGAGAGGTAGGGTGGGGGGCTGCAGGAGGCTGGAGTGAGAGGTTAGTTGGCCGTTGCCCATGATGCTGTGAGGGCTGGGATGGACCACATGATTGGCTTGGGCAGCGAGTGCGGAGGGCGTAACCGTTGGCTGAGCTGCTGCATATGGAGGCTGACTGGGCATGCTCAACACCATGGTGGGCGGCTGCTGAGTGGACTGAGGCGTGAGCTGGAAGTGGGTGGTCATGAGGGGGTGCTGCTGTGCCACAGGCGTCTGGATGGACGGGGTCACTCCTATGATGGGTGACTGGGCGGTCACGCTGTGGGTAAACGACGGCAGCTGAGGGAGGGCGTAGCTGTGAGAAAGGAGGCTTGACTGGCTTACGGCTGCAACTGACGTGGCCCAGGTCGGACCTGGATAACAAACAGAGCAGGGAAAAGATGATGACGGAGCAGTTTCTCATCGAGGTCAGATTCACAAACGTTTACTTTACTTTTCTGACATGTATGCATGTTATAGACAATCAAACCCTAAATACCAAAATTTGACACGTGATCTCAGGTTAGATTTGAAAAAAAAAGAAAGATGCACCACCAACTTCCTTCCATACCATGTTTTAACTACATCCATCTTATTATGTAGTTACAGTCATTTTGATCAAATATAGAAAATAGAATATAACGTTGGAAATTACACCTGGCTACTGTGACACCCAACTGTAACTTAATAAAGTCAGATATGATGTAGATGTAATATGAATCCATGCAGACTTGGGCAAAGTGTGGATCATGGGTGCAAAAGGGTCATGATCAACTTCCGCACTTGAGAATCAGGACTACCTACGCACTAGGGATGGGTAACATATACAGTACGTTTAAAAGGCATCGACCAAATTCTGTGGTACCAACCAAAGACCGATTCACGTGATATGAAACGGTGCTTTCTTTCGTTACCATAGAGTTTGGTAACCAATGTCCCAAGATAGACAGCAGCGCATGCTCAAGAGCGTAATATCTTCTGTTGCTGCAGGCAAGCTGTAAACAGAGCAAGCAGCATTGCAGAAAGTATGTGCTCTAAAGTTTGGGTCCACTTCACTAAATGCGATGGGTGACTGGGTGATGATGGCAACACTGATGACGTTCTAAGTGAACTATCATTGTGTTAATCTGCTTCAGCAGGTAAATAAACAGTTTAAGATAATTTAGCTTGGTATTTGAGCTTCCATTGCTATCAGCTAATGGTGCATTCGCTTTCCACTCGGTACTCGGACATCACAATTTCCAAGTAGGCAGATAGAACGCGCTCTAAAGTTTGGGTCCACTTCACTAAATGGAATGAGTGACTGGGTGGTGATGGCGTTAGCTTGATACTTTAGCTTCCGTTGCTATCAGCTAATGGTGTGTTCGCTTCCTCCTCGGAACTCGAAAATTCCAAAGTTCAATTAGGCAAATCAACTGTTTGAAAAGCAATGACAAAAGGAATGAAGATAAACAGTAAAATTAGTTTGCAGCAAAGACTTTTGCTTCAGTTTATTTTTCAGTTTTAATAGTACAAGGCAGTACAACTCTATAATACTACAATAATACAGGGACCCATCACACAATTTATCTAGAGGGGAAAGGCGAGGAATAGGAGTACATGGAGCTGGGTTTTACTTTTTAAACAGCAAAATATTAAAATAAACCAGTTGCATGGTATCAAAGTTTGTTTTAGTTTCATTTGTACAATAGAAGGGTGCAATTGTGGAAGTGCGAGTATTTGGATTGGGCCTTAGACCCGCTCCCACATATTTTAGACCCGATTCTTTCGGTTTTATGTTACGAAGTTTTATGTTTTAAAGATGAACATTTTTCAACAACAGGGCATCATTTCATTCATTTTCAACAACATTTCCAGAGATCAACGGTAAAAACTACACATTGTCTCTTTAAAGAAACAAAGTTTCATATGAAGATATTTCTGAACTGTTTATTTTTTGGAAGCACATGCTAACTATAAATATGAATATATTGATGTGTTTTTTTTTGTCTTTTCTTTTTTTGAAACAAACGTTTGAAAGAATTGAGCAGCCCTAACGCACGTAGAATAAGCAATAGAAGTAAGCGCCTAGGTGGTGATAATTGGTTTTTAACATAAATTTTCAAGGTGACAACTAGAAAATCAACACTTAATTAATCTGTAACACCTCTAACTTTATCCACTTACCTTTAATGCTGTAGTTATTTTATTTGTAAGTGAAAGGTGAGTGTCGGAATGTATTTATTTGAAATCCAGCCTGATGATTTATAACCCTGTCCTGCCATTTATACACATGAGTTTTTGTGACTGTAATTTATTTGAAGTATCCGTCTCACATCCACATACTTCCCTTTAGTTTCACAAAGCCCGACTATTTCCTTTTTTCAATTATCTGACGGCATCCACCAGACAAAAGCTTCTGTAACCTCGAACACGAAAGAGCTTGAGAGAATAAAATGCTCGAACACAAAATAAGATTTTAGGCAGGAGAGAAACATTAAAAAAGCTAATTGAATATGTGCTTCAGTTGATAAAAATCAAAAGAATTGCATGAAACTAGCAGGAAATATGCAGATTTGAAAAAGTTGTTTTACACTTTTAGGTTTCTGCATCTTTTAAACTCTCCGCTCGCCAGAAAACAACAAATTCCGAAACTTCTGATGGGCCCACTCGGTTCATTCGTTATGCAACGACTCAGAAAAGAGTAGACATGAACAGATTTCTTTACAGCAGTTTATTTATGGCTTGTCAGGGAGCGGCGGACAAAGCTACCAACTAGAGCCGAGAGCTGGCTTTCAGTCTGAGGCTGGATGATCAAAAAAAGGACAGAAAGCAGCAGGAGGAGGCTGATTCCAGTCAGAATCTGTTCCTTTCCTCACCAGCATCCTGAGCAAGCTGCTCCACTTCCCTCCAAGTTTGTTTTTCACTTACTATGGAAAAAAATAACACATTTGAATGGATCTGCAAACGGAGTCGGCGCGGTATTAAGATTAGGAGATTTATCTTTCTGAGGATGTACAGACGTGTGAGCTTTGTGCAGAATTTGGCGGCGTCGGTGCCCGAGTCCATGTCTACTCAAACGCCTTGAGCCAATCATTTCTGCACCCCGAGGCGATGGATGCTGCGGGGTGTGCTGGCCCGACTGGACCCGGATACTTCCCCCCTCCTTCACTAACTCCTACTCCTTCATCTCCGACCTCCTCCTGCAGCGGTCCAAGCTCCAAAAATAGCTGAGCACTCTGCTAAGGGGCCAAAGGCTCTATCACAGCCTGCAAAGAGCCGAAGAAAGGTAAGTGCACATTATTTATAGTACTAATCCTGCTGATATGATAACGTAGAAAGGGATGGATGGAGAGAGGAGGAGAAGGGAGGGAGGTAATCGACTAGTTCTCGCTTTTGTCCCCTGAACTCGATCTGATGATTCTGATCTAATCTTTCTCCCTTCCAAGTGATGTTGTTGATCAGATTCAACTCATGTACGTCGTTTCCAGCTCTCCACCAGTATTCAAAATAATTAGGCCAGAGAAATACATTTTACTTATGAATGACCCACATTTACAAAACTGAACGACACAAAAGAGCCGCGTTAATTAAAAGATATTTCTCTCTGTGATTGCTGTCCTGTACCTCCATATAAAACATTCATCTCCATTCATTTTTTATTTCTGTACCCCAGATTTTAAAAGCACTCCATCAGAAACCAACAAAGGAAAAAGGAGGCTTCATTTTTTGTGAAAGCCAAACTTTTTGTTTTGCTTTTCCTTTCTTTAACAAAAACAGCAGTAAAGTTTCTTATAAAAGAAACCGTTGATTAATTCTGGCACAGTTGGCAGAGAACTTTCTGGCAACACAGTTCAGCGAAGTGTGGAGAGGAGCTGGCTTCGCTGCCAACGCCAGTCACAGTTTGGAATAGCGCAAATCACTATGCAAGGCTATGCTTGGATTTGAGTGTCATATGTGACAGCGTGCAGGGTTGGTGACATCTCACTGTAGTGTGTGTGTGTGTGTGTGTGTGTGTGTGTGTGTGTGGAGAGGGGGCTCACCACATAACCAAAATCCCTTATTGGCAAATAGACCTGCCTTGATAGCACCTTGAATGTTTACCGCTACAGAAAATAAGCCGTTTAATAATTAATCCATTTACACGTGTGAAACTGAAAATCCTAATTATAAAAGGGAGCAGCAGGAGCGAGTGTTTTAACGTGACGCTCTGCTGGTACAGATTAGCAGCCGTCTGTGGCGTGGATTCGCTGAGCCAGAATTTCAGCCGGTACCGTCGTCTCGGTGTCGGTATTACTCTTAAACGAGACACATTTGTATTGAGCGAGAGGCAGAGGCCGGCAGAGTAGAAGAAAGGGAAGGAAATGAACAGCTTTAGGGCGTAAGCCATTCTGGGCGAGTTCATTACAGTGAAAGTAAAAAAAAATATTAAAAAAATACTTCAATATTGGCTTAACTCGTTAATGTCAGGTCTGTGCACCGCACAGCAGTGGCACCGCTGCTCCGAACAGGTTTCTACAAAAGCATGAACAGAACAGGGTCGACATCTAAATTAGACCTAGAGCAGATCATGTGGAGGACTTTTATTGAACTACATCAGTTAATGACATTAACAAAAGCAATAAAAGCAAAGAGACTGGTGTAAGGAGGGTTTAACCCCTCCCCCCCCTCAGCCTGGTGACACAAAACTGACATCTCCACGATGACATGAGTGATTAAGCTGGTTTTATGTAGATATATGCTTTTTTTCTTCCATGGATGCACGCTACGCATGATGATATTTGTGACATGTGCAGATTTGGGAGGTAAGCGTTTATTTTATGTAGGGAAAGATGCATCATTAGCATGAGACGCTAGTGTTAGCTGGCCAGAGCGGTATGGGGTTCTGCACATAAACGAGAAGTCCACATACGTCTACTCCACGTGTGCATGCTGATGATGTAGAAGTCTGTGAACTCATGTCAGCTGGAGCTGGGTGTGTGTGTGTGTGTGTGTGATTCATTACCTGTGGGCTCGCCGTCTCTGTGCTGCTTGGCAGGGGGCTCGTCTGTATCCCACGGTGTGAGCTGGTTGATGGGCGTCTGTCCCCATCTGACTCCAGGAGCCAGCAGCAGTCCTGGGGTCTGGTTGTCTCCAGGAGACAGGCCAGAAACCTGCAGCAATCAAAAAGCAACACAAAGAAGCTTCTGATTAGTAAAGCAGCAGAAACATGTCAGAAAATTCAGCATAAAATGTAATCAACAAATGCACTGAAAATAGAAATTATCTGAAGGTTTGGCAGAATTTTGCAGGAAATCACGGCCATCGGAACGCTTCCTCAACGTCTGGAAGTGAGCCGTGATGACGGAGTGCGGTGTATAATTAGCTATAAGTGAGTGATGATTACAGCCTATGTATAATGGGGACAAGCGGGGGAAACGTCCTGTTCATCGTCTCAAGAGTCTCTACAGACGGCAATATTTCATTTTGATGTTATTAAACATTAACTTTGGGCTGTGGGCTACATCAGAGCCCAGCTTCTTCCCTGGAGATTATTTGTACATCTTAATGCTGATAAGGAACCATTTTGGGTTCAGATAAGACAAAATGAATAAACTCCTGTTGGAATGAGGGAATGAAAATAATAAAAAGACGAAATGCATATCGCCCTACAGCATAAGGATGGAGTTTTGCTTAAGTGCACTTACTGTAAATGCGAATATGTATTAATCTGTTCTTATATTTTAAATATTTATGTTTATTTATTAAGCTGACGCTTTTATCCAAAGTGACTTACAATTTATAACCTATAGGGCATGTTGTGATCTGTGGGGGAAACCGGAGAACCCGGAGGAAACCCACGCATGCATGGGGAGAACACGCAACTCCACGCAGAAAGGCCGCGGCCGAGTTTCGAACCTGCAACCTTCGTGCTGCGAGGCAACAGTGCTAACCACTGCGCCACCATGCAGCCCAATATTTAATATTTAATTTCTGCCTCTTTAGTTCTCCTCCTAATACATTCTTTATATAACTTATTTTTCTTTTTACATGCATTTATCAATCACTTAGTCATCCATGTTTTTTTTTTTGTCTTAATCTGCTTCTTTGTGTATTTCGTTATCGGGCAGTGTTTATCATACAGATTCTGAAATATTTTTAAGAACCTTTCATATGCTACGTTGACATCCATTACTACACAAATCGCATTCCAGTTTTGTTTTAGCAGAGCCTCTTTAAATTCCTCTAACTGTTGTCTTGCACGTCTCCTACCATATCTAGTACCGTATATTTCTTCACCATCAGTTTCCCCTGCCATTGTTATAAAAACTGGCAAGTGATCAGTTATACCATTAATCATTAACCCACTTATTAGTCTATCCTCTAAGGTATTTGTAAAGACTATTTATTAGTGTTTCACTGCATGATGTTATTCAACTTGGTTTTGTAATAGTGGGGTACATACATAGACAATACATAACTTCAACAAATTCTGCCATTTTATTTTGCTTAGGAGTAGGGCTGGGCATATGGCCTCAAATCTATATTGCGATATAATCTGAAGCATGTGTGGTAACGATATATATTGCGATATATTTTTTCCTCAGTTTATATATGTCAAACTGACATGATTTTAAATATTCTCATGTGGCAAATATATGCCACATGAGGCATATAGGCCTCCTCCTCCGCCCACTCCATGCTTGCAGTCACTGCCGTTCTGTTGTCCCAATGTCAGCAGGGTGCACATCTTAGTGATGGCATGCGTTATCGCGATATTGCGGTATTGCGATATAGCCAAAAACTCTATCATTACCTAATTTTATATCGTTTACATTGCCAACCCCTACTTAGCATTCATTAAGTCTCTATTAAAATCCCCACACAACAACACTGCTTTATGATTTGTTTTTTCTACCAACCTCTCTACCTTTTCAATAAAGGTTTAAATTTTTGACCCCGGCATTCTGTTTATACTAGGGGTTGTATGAACTAGTCGACTTCACTGCTCTGTAGTGACTTTTTATGCCTGTCATCGACTAGTCGCTGTCACGTGATAATGACCGACAAGATGCAGTCCTCGGAAAAGACAGCAGGTGATGATGAGCCCCTGCGCGTTGGGAGGCGACACAAGCGTTGGTACTGACACCCGCCGTAAAACGGACATTTAACCAAATTGTGACCTTTACCCTCTTGTAATTTAACCTTCCCCTCACCCCGATCCTAATCTTAACCAGCTTGCGCATGCAGAGCTCTGATCGTTGACGCGCTCCAGACATCTGCGTCCTGAGCACGGCTACAGTAACATTATCAAATTAGGTCTCGCCACCTGAAAAACAAATTTAACACGCGGTCGTTCATGTCGGCTCATTTCCTTTTATGTTTTCTGTCTTTTTTATTTGTGCCTGATGCGTTTCACTGCTGTGGAGCAGGGTGCATCACCTGTTTTGTCTTCCGGTGACGCACCTCACTGATGCAGCCGGCGCACACTCTGCTGTTTTTGCGGTCGGTAGATCTTTTAGAACTGCAGTTCAAAGGTAACTCATAAGGTGAATATATATGAACCCAGGTAGCAGTTTTTCTTTGGGATTGAGAGGAGATGCAGGAAGATAATAGACAGGACAGAAAAATAGTCAAATAAAAACAAGTTTGTTTTTGTACCTGGTGGTTGCAACAAACAGACACCATTGAAGGTAATCAGAAGTGAGGAACAGAAAATGAAATAATTATTTTAGTGTTTAGAGCAGCAGGAACTCTGAGAGGCTGCAGGCGCATCAGTGAGTTTGCAGCCACTGTACAGGGGGAGGGGGGAGAGGGCTGAAGCGGAGCAGTATAGATGCAGAAACTACTCGCCGAACGGCATTGAATTCACAGATAAAAAAGATGTGGGTTCAACTTTCATTTTGGAACAATTTTTCAAGCAAGGGAAGGGAATGATCTGAGCATGCAGGAGGACTGACCCATCATAAACCTTTGTCGGCTGTGCTGAAGAGAAAGCTACAGAACCAAATTATTTAATTAATTAGCTGCGCGTTCTCCTGTCCTCCGGGCCACACACACACACACACACACACACACACACACACACACACACACACACACACACACACACACACGCACACACACACACACGGGACTGTCTCAGCTGTTATTTTCGCTGAGGAGTGTGCACGTACAGCATGCGCGCCTCGTGCACGAGCCTACTATTGAAGCTGCCGTTACGCTTTTGGCCTGAGGGGGCAATCGCGAGCATAAAAATTCAAAAGTCCGAAAAGTCCCTTTAAGCCATATAGTTTTGAAGACCATTTTTATTGAGGATTATCCCAACAGTTGATCAGTAGTCGATCCGTCTAGTGGCTTTTTGGGATATTTTGTTAGTGGACAGACTCGACTCAGACAGGTAAAATTTTACGCTATGATCTTAAAATATGTGATAAAGACGCTTCTCAGCTGCTATCGTATCAAATGTTAGCAAAATATCTCTAAAACTGACTTCAGTAGAGCTTTATTGTGATTTTAAGCCAATTGGAAAAGGCTTGTCTTCATGTGTTAATGGAAAATCTTATATGATTCATTAGCACTTGGAGTATTTGTTGTGAATGACTCTCAGCTACGATGACACCACATTAAAGCTCAATACCTGTACAACCCACTGCGACTTAGCCAGTTTGCTACAGTTAAATTACTGAGCCAACTGTAGATGAACAGAATCCATGATTAAAATCCATCTTGTGCTTTATGAAGTATTCAAACAAAGACGGACAAGAACGTTGTGGGCGAAAAAGGAAAACGAAAAGTGAACCTATTGCAACTTCACCAAACTAAAAGTCTTTTCTGCAATTGCACCTCTAATATATATTTTTTACTTTTAGGAGAGAAAGAAATGTTATGAGGCCAGCAAAGGCTGATGAAAACACAGGGTCCATCACCGCTGGACCTCTGAGCAACATTCGTCTCTCCCCATCAGAAGTTTGGACGCTTGGTCTAACAGCCGGGCAGGGAGAGGGCAGATCCAAGCCTTATTCCCTCGCTCGCCCCAGCCAGCCCCCTGAGTTAATAGAAAAGACCTGGTCACAAGGCCCCTCCTGCGCTCTTGCGCCTGATCCCTCCATCCCTCAATTCCATTACACACGCCCCTCTTCTTCCCCGACCCGGCATCCGCTTCATCGAGCACTCCATCATGCATTCCAACAGCTTTGTCGACAAACTTTGCCAGACCAACCACACGACGACGAAACTGAGCAATTCGGTTCTCACTGAATTACCATGCAGCCTCTCAGATCGTGTCAATCCTTTTGCTGACGTCAAGAAAAAAAAAACGCTCCCAGCTTCAAGACAGATTTATCACAACTTTCCAGGGGCCTTCAGCACTTGAAGATATTACACGGTATTGAAGCTGCTCAACATCCGCTGTCTAATGAACAAATTCATGAAAGCAGACAAGTTCAATGAACGTCTGGTAGTTGATGAATCTATACTCAAAGTTATCTGACAGTTTGTAAGTGCTGGGGGCGAATGGGAAGAAAAAACAGCTAAAAGAAACATGTCAGGCAGAAAGCAGAGTGATGGGGAGGGAGCATGACGCCGGGTTTAGGTGGAGACAGACTGTCAGGTCTTTTTGTTCAGCTCAACCTGTCAACCAAAGACAAAAGAAAAAAAAAAACAAAATGGTTCACTCAGAGAATGCCCAAAGCACACAATTGCATTTGACATCCCTCGAGACTTGAGGAGACCGTTTCAGTTGCTTTCTGGAGAATACTATTTGTTTTAATAAATGTTTTCACTCCTCCGCCTCGTGCTTCCTCTCCATGTTCCACTCAGCTTTACTTTTATCTCCAAGAAGGCGACTTCTCATTAACTCAAAGCGCACTGGCTGTCCTCAAGCCTTGCATTTACACTCCCACCTATTTTCTGGAAAAGATCTATTATGATGAAAGGCAGCCCATGTGTAAGAGATCTGGTGAATCATATAAAAGAGAGAGGGGAGGGAAAAAAAAGGGCTTTCCATCAGCGCCATCACGCTGACAGCGTATCAGCTCGGATCAGGAACAATCCTGACTCCAAAATGATCAAGGTTAGATATAGGTACACACACAGGCAAACACACGCTGGAAACACAAGAGTGTAGCTGCACACGCAGCTGGGAGAACACACACACACACACACACACACA